TGGGGATCCGAATTCCATTATCTTGAGATCTTAGTGTAAAAGCTTTTAAAAAATTCTGACGACGTGGTGCGCCGGGGACAGGTGGTGGTGGTGCGCAGTGGTGTTATACCATGAAAGCTTACGTTGAAAATTTCTATTGAAGAGCTTTAGAAAACCATAGAATCTAAACTTTAGCAGAGAGAGAAAACAAAGCTAAGAAAATGATTCTCATTATCATGTTTTGGATCAATCCCATTGAGAGAAAGAACACTTTAATCAACGAATCAATACAAATAAGTTAGTTTAGTACCTAACAAACACTATTTTTAAGTTGGCACTTGACTAACAGTGTGTATACTAACATGGAATAAGAATGGAGGGTCAATAAAGCCTTGAAGGCTCGGATGTGTAGTGTTAGATTTTTTTTAAAGGCGTAGTTCAAGACGATGTCGTTTTGCTTAGATCATTAAAATAATGAAGAAGAACAACTTGACAACAACCCAAGCAAGCTGTTGAGGATTGCTGCCGAATTATGCCGATACCCATTTAGGTATTTCATTAATTGAACACTAGTGGGTGTCCTCGAGTCACAAACCAGACGGCCATAGTGTCCTCCGAGTACCTTCCCAACCATTTTTCCAACTTCCATAGGATCTTGGGACCAGTAGTTACCTTAGTGGATCTGCCACTCTGTGTGTGTGTGTGTATTGTATGTGTGTGTGTAGTGCATTGTTGAAAGTATGTATGTCACATCCATAAAAGAATGGCCTCGCATGCTTATATATTTGGGTTACTTTTCATAGTATCAATGACTTTATAGGCCACATGTATTCAGGAAAATTCAGTTGTAAAAGATAAAACTTAGTTTTGATTTTTGTTGGGATACTTTGTAATAGTTTTGGTAGTTAGTGTTAGAATGTGTGGTCAACACTAGTGTTAGTTAGAATGTGTGGTTAACACGTGTGTGGTACAAAGGCATTGTACAAATACAGTTGTAATATTTCCCCGCTAACAAGTGTTCCGCATCACCCGATTTGTATTGTCTATATATTGAGCTTGAAAATTTGGCACACGTGAATGGCTCGTCGAGAGCATGAATTCCTTATAAAAAAACTAAGGAACCTTACATGTGTTTATAAGTAGTTAGGCTAATCCTCATACTATCAATTGATTTTATGGTAAAAAGTTAACTTTCTTCATGCATATATATATATATATATATATATAGAGAGAGAGAGAGAGGAGAGAGAGAGAGAGAGAGAGAGAGAGAGCGATTATGATCATATATAATACATGGTTCACATATCAAAATTCTCCATAAAATAAAGGGAACTTTAACGAAAAACACCTGGTACTGTTCACTTTAACGAAAAACCACATTTTTACACTAAAAAGTCAATCCTGGTACTATTCACTTTACCCTTTATTTTGTCATTATCATTAAAATTCAAAGTTTTCAAGCTCTTTTCATTAGTTTTCCTTAAAATAAAAGCTGAAACATTATTTCGTACCATACTTCATGTGTGTAATAGAAAATCAAAACGTAACCACCGTTTTTATATTATTAATATTTTAATTACAAACAAGAGTTCCGAATTAAGGATCTCTATAGTACTTCTCCCCATCACCCTCTATACATCCACCATTTTTTAGTTTGATCGTGGAACCTGAACATATGTAAGCCAAAGATGCAAGGAAACCAAGGACTAGTAGTGATGAGTTATAAAGTGATCTTCATCGTGTGATTTCATTTCAATTTGTAGATCTATCACGATCATACATTAATTTAGAAAACTTTAATAAAAAGTTTTCGGTATTGTTTATTTTGACGAAAAACCACATTTTTACACTAAAAAATTAATCATGGTACTATTCACTTTACCATTTATTTTGTCTTTATCGTTAAAATTCAAAATTTTCGAGCTATTTTATTAGTTTTTCTTAATTTTTAATCTGTTTATGTACTAATTTAACTTTTTTTTTATTATTTCCCAATTACTCGTGGTCCTTTAGATCTAGGTATTATCACTGTTTGTGCCACGTTCGACTTCCAAAATCTTAAATATGAAACCTAACCCAATGGGTGAAGAACTTTAATCGGCCATTTAATGAGTTAATGTGACATTTGGAATTGACATCTCCCCCGTATGTGAACATCTTTTTATCTTACGTCCACCTCAATTCCGTACGGCTCCATCCTCTCTGTAGTATTGGACTATTTGCGTATGCCCTCTGTTGCTGGCCGAGCAACTCCACCTATAGAGCCCTTCCCTCTGGCAATCTACTATTGAATCCACTCTTTAGAACAGTAACTACCTTTAATGAATAGTAACTACCATTAATCAACAGTAATTGTCATTTGCATCTCCACCCTTGGAGCCCTCCCCTGGCAATAGGCAATAAAATATTATTTTTTGTTTGTTTGTTTAAATAATACAAAATAAAATTATTTGTAATTTCAGATAAGATTTTTTAAATCGTTCTCGTTACTCCACGTGTTATTTTATTAAAAAAAAACAATTATTTAGCGATGGATTTCAAATTTTTTACAAATTTTTTTCTTCATATTTTTTACAATTTTTTTGGATTTTTTATAATTTTTTTAAATTTTTATTCAAATAATTAATCTCTACCGTTGGATTTAAAAAAAAAATTGAATTCCAACACTCCAGATTGTGCCACGTGTCACAATGGTAACTTTCTTAATTTTAAACTATTTTTTCTTTTTCTTTTTTAAATTTGAAATCAGTTGCATCGGACGGCTCCTATTTAAACCCCTTCAGATCGAACGGACCGTGGGAAGCCACGTGGCTTCCCAACGGTCACCTGCCAATTCTCTGCGCCCCGGCCCTAGCGCCTGAAATCTGGTCGGGCGACGCGCCCCCACTCGCGAGTGAGGGACACACGCTTGACACAAAAAAAATTAAATAATGCCTGGCCCTCGGGCTGCAGGCTGGTGGATTCCTCACGGGCCTTGTGCTCGGGCTCCCACCCTCACTCGGGCTCTCCATGGCTAGAGCATTGTCCACCGGGCCTCAGGCCCTTTCTTCTCCCCTTTCCCCCGAGTAATCCACATGGGTGGAGTTGCTCTTAACTCGTGCGCTCGGCAGTCGGCAAAGGTTGCAGTACCACACTCCCCAGGAAGAGTGCCAGTTATTATTCGGTCGAGACTTTTTAAATACCTTTTAGGAGATGATTGTGGTATACTGTATACATGTACCAATTTTATGTAGCAGGTATTTTTTGTACAAATAGGTATTGAATCATCGTTGGAACTATATATTTACTATATAGAATTTCTTATATATATATATATATATATATATATATTTTTTTTTTTTTTACTTCCCTTATTTTGTTCCGAAATACGAGAATTTTATACAGTAAACATGATCCCGCAAGAGCCCTATCATCTTCTTCCTACAATATACGAGTAAACTCTATTACCTCTAGTCGAGATGTCTATTTTTGGAGAAAGAATAGAGTATCAAGTAAACCCTTAAAAAAGGATTTGGATCTCATCGAGATCCTCTTTGTGAAGATTTTAGGAATCCTCATAACCTATCTGTCTATCATACATTGTGTAATCAGAAATTATTTTGAATTTTTTGATCAATTCAAACTTTCCATTTGAACGTATATGACTGACACACAACTGTAGTAAATTTATTGTTTTTTTTTTTTGGGTCAGTACAACTATAGTAATTGTACTACGTACAACAATACAATTAGTTATCCAGACACTGCACACTGCGTGCAGTTGTCGCCTGGATTTGGTTAGCTGTCAGTTTCAAAGATGAAAATCCGAGACTCATCAGTGTAACTAACTAGTTACAACACACACGGAAGCAGACTGGCAGAGAGGGTACAAGTTAGTTAATATAGCATCGACATCGATTTTTGTTCGATATGCAGATATGGTGGATGGACTGAATGTTAAGTCCTAATCTGGAATCTATTTCCCATCATTTCAAGGCATGCATCCATCGACCTTTTATTGTTGAAAGTTCATCATGACTGTTCACTGATGCGTCGATGTCTTTCTGAATATTTATTCACTTCCAGTCGTTCAATTTCATTTTTTCAGTCAACAAACGTGGAGATAAATATCTTTTGTTGCGCTTGTATATTTATATATTTATTAGATAGTGTTGTCCATATAAATATTTTTGTTTTTAACACGTTTTTATCAAATTTTTTTTATCAAATCAAATGAAGTGAAAAAAATTAATGATAAAAAAATTAATAAGGGTGTGTGAGAAGTAAAAGTGAGTATGAATAGAAGTTTTCCGTATGTTTTATGTAGTTCATTCATGCAATAGGAGGTTCAAGGAGTTCATTTCATGAAAATAAAAGCATCATTAGTTAAAATCTTTATATGAAATTAATAGTGGAGGAAGATATTACAATAAGCCCCAAGTCTACGCAGTGTCAAAGTCAGAGTCTAAATAATATGTACCAGTAGTATATATATGAAGTGACGGAAAAGATACAATAAACTAGCTACTTCGCTAGAGAGACATGATATTAACTATGAACATGGAATTTGGACAATATATATTTAGATATTTTATGATTACTGTTTACATATTATTCATTCAGGCAATTATTTGTTGAAAATGTCCTAAGAAACTGTACTTAATCGAATTATTGGCATTTACTTAGTTGAATTGAGGGAAGTCATGAATCAGGAAAGAAAAAGAAAGAAAATGTGTGTGAGCTAGTTGATTTGAATCCTATTATTGAGCCATTGCATTACATATTTTTATTTATTAGTGGACATTTCCGATACCCAAATTTTAATAAACATACAAAAACAACATCAAAATAATTCATGTATACTACTACATGTAAAGAAAAATATGTCAATGTGCAAGTCGTTTTAGTCTTGGGAGAGAGAGAGAGAGAGAGAGAGAGAGAGAGAGAGAGAGAGAGAGAGAGAGAGAGAGAGAGAGCAGCCGGTGGACAAGTGAGGAGGGAACTGAGTATTTATGAGAGGCTACTGTATTGTGGAGGTTGTAGTTGACAAATTAATTACAGAAAGCACTGCAGAACGTACATATATACTGGGCTTAGTTCGCCGACACTATTGCGTATAGCCTCTCCTCCTACTCTTTTTATTTCTACCTATATCTATCATCGTATGCAAAGCTCAAATTTCCATACGTTAACTTTTCTGAACTTCGCTCACCTCTCAATCGCCCTTTCATTCCTCTCTCTCTCAAAGTTAGATAAACAAACAAAATGGTGCAATCAAAGAAGTACAGAGGCGTCAGGCAGCGTCATTGGGGCTCTTGGGTCTCAGAAATCCGCCACCCAATACTGTAAGCAACCCTCACCAACATATATATACCATTTGGTTATTTCTTCTCAACCCTCACCAACATACATACATACATGTATATATCATCTACATATAATACGTACATACGCGTGTGATCATGGTGACTACTGCAGGAAGAGAAGGGTGTGGCTAGGCACATTTGGGACAGCCGAAGAAGCAGCTCGAGCATACGACGAAGCTGCCGTTCTGATGAGCGGACGAAATGCCAAGACCAATTTCCCAACATCTATTACAACTCAGAGTAAGAGTACTCGTGCCACAGTAGGATCATCCGATCACCCAAAAACTAGTAGTGGTGACTTGGATTCACCATCCGGACCGAAGGGTTTGTCGGAAATATTGCATGCCAAGCTAAGGAAATGCAGCAAGATACCGTCCCCATCCATGACCTGCTTGAGGCTCGACAATGAGAGCTCTCACATTGGAGTGTGGCAAAAGCGGGCAGGTCAACGCTCTGATAACTCCAATTGGGTCATGACTATTCAGCTTGGCAAGAAGAAGAATAATAGTAATGTTGATACTAATAATGCTGATGATCACAGTGTTGTACCATCACAGCTAATGTCGAATTCAGATCAGTCGGCTTCGATTGCAACATCATCAGAGAGGGCGCCCGAACTCATGGCGGAGATTGATAAAGAAGAGAAAATTGCGTTGCAGATGATAGAAGAGCTGCTTAACAGAAATTGCCTAAGTCCTGATTTATCATTTGGCATTCATCAAGGGGAGGAAAAAATTTAGTTGTAGTAGTACTACTCTTATTTAATTACTAGCTATTTGTGTTTGTTTGGTAAAATTAAGTAAGTATAGTGTTATATATACCCATCTAAATAATCTCTCTATATATATACACATAGGTAATGGGAAAAATAATATATTTAATTATGTAGTCATTAAAAGGGTTAAGTGTAATAATTGTAATCCATTAGTGTCCAATTGTTTTTGGCCATCAACTGCATAAACGGTTTGGATATTTATGTGTCAAATTGATCACGTAATTGATTAATTTCTTGGTTATTTATTCAGTTTGTTTGTTTATTAATTTTTCTCTTTGCAATTATGTCTTCCCCACTCGAATAAATCATTATAAATAAGTTAATTAAAGTTTTGATTAATCGTAAGTGGTGGATTGTCTTGGTGTGTTAGCCTATATAAGGCCTTTATAATCAATCCACTACGTCATGATGAGTTCAATTCTCTCTTCCCTTAATGAAGTTTAGATTAGTAGTATCATTTCTAATAAAAAAATTCTAATTAGCCAGCATTGGAATAATTCTATACATACCTTTATTAGGCTCTATATGTTTCTCTGTGCTTGTTGATTACCCTAATTTTTGGCATGTTCTCCTTGTATGTATCATGACACACCCCGACTGAGATCAAGGCATGTTGGCCGTCACGTGAGAGTGACGTAGCCATGTGCACAGTGCGGAAGCAATAGAGATAGAAAATATACGAATAATTAAAAACCGAATTGCTAGAGTGCACTACTAAACAGGAAGTGATAGGAGTTAGTTACAAAAGTAAACACTCCTAATCAGAGCATAAGTCTAGGTGCAGTCTAGTAGGACAAGTCCTAGATATACAGTACCAGGAATGTCCTACTATTATTTGGATAGGTCAGAACTGCCGACGCCCTCAAGCCACCAACAACAAGCTTACTTAAAACCTGGAGGGGCGCAAAACAGAAAACGTGAGTGGGCAAAAACAAATGTTTTACAAAACCATTTCATTTAACAACATATCTAACCCCTCGCTATAAAACATATATAATTTTTTCCCAGAATCAAGATATAAGCATATACATAAATATATATGAAATCATATCAATTCAATTTATACTTCACATAATCATATTCAAATGTATGTCATGCCAAGATATAATAGAGTAAGCAATTCAGGTAAGAATAATTTCATAGAAATATAACATGTGAGCTGGAACCCCTGTGGTAGTCTGTACGGCTGAATTCATAGCTCAAAAGTCACTCTAGCCGAAGTCACTACTATGACCTATACGGCAATATACTACACAAGAGTCGGAACCAAACAAAAAGGTCTATACGACAATAATGGGTGTAATACAATCATGCTCAATACTACTCTTACATAATAACTGGACGATAAATCACTAGTCACCTACAAGTCGGAACCATAAATAAGGTCTGTACGATAAGACTGTGCACCTAAATTGGATCTAATATGAATATATGGTGTGGGAGGTGACATAATAAACAGGCATGTGCCATATCTATGGCTAAATCACAATCACCCTAAGTGCAGTTTTTTGAGCTCAACATTATTCAATCACATATTGCATCATCGATAATTCACATAATCAAACACAACTTACCTGAGCTTACATGAGCGTCCACAGCACCACATTTATATATATATATATATATATATAAAGCATTACATACCAATCATGTATGAATTATAAACTTATATGCATGACATTTGTGGCATATTATTATTTAAACACATATTTTGGGGAAAATATCAAGTATATAATATATACTGAAAACCAAAAGCCCACTCACTGGTATGTCGACGGGTCGTAACCCCCGAGTCGTCCGTGGATACGCTTGTCCTCAAGATAAGTCTCACATATATGTGAATTAACTATAAAAACGTTATTTTAAAGCATATAGACAAAACTAGCTAATAACTTCTCATACATAGCTCAAATTGGGTATATGAATATACCACAGTGACCTACACAACCTCAGGATCATCCCCAAATTTTTAGATTAATTTTTCAGTGCCTCACGCACCGCCACGTGCCAGCGAGCGCACGGCAAAACGCGCCGGCCACATGTCTGGCATGTGTAACGGAACAACAACGGCGTTAGGAATATTCTGTTAAAACCCAACGGTAACCGTCCAAACTAATTGATGGCGTCAGCATATTCCGTCAAAACTGACGAAATATTCTCTGTCTTCTCCGGCGAGTCGTCGGTTTCTGGAAAAATGCTAAAATCGTCCTAACTCCTTCATTTTTGCACCATTTTTCATGAAATTTGAACCATTGGAATGCTAACAACATGTAGAATCACGTTATACCTGTTTTAGGACATGTTATCCACGGATTCTTGCCGAAGAACTCTGAGAAAACCGACCAACTTCAAAACTAGCTATCCCGACGTCCAAATTTATCCAACAAACCACTCCGAGCCTCCTTAGGACCTCCTAAAGCTCTCTATGAGCTTGAAATTCCTTGAAACCAACATATTTACGTCCACATGAATAGTGACCAAAATCGGGGCTAGGGTTTCCACGTGAAATCGAAGGTTTCCTAACCTGAAATTGATACCTTTGAACTCGTAGGGTCCTGACGAACACAATGGTACCATTTTCTTCCTCGATCTGTGAGGTTTGAGAGGTCATTGGTGTTTGTCCGTACAAGAAGAGAGAGAGAGAGAGAGAGAGGGCACGGGAGAGAAGAGAGAGAAAATGGTATGTGTGTGTGGTCCTTACAAAGTCAACCAAATCACTTATACACTAACCTTTAATCCAAGTTCCAAATTTAAGCTAAGGTTAGTTCTTACTATAACCCTAGCATTCAAATTGAAACCAAAACACACAACACCACAAAACGTTCAAGGGAAAAACTGTCATTTCACATCATCGAAAATTAAATATTCGGGACGGGCTGTGACATATCAGGATTATCTTCTTTTTTTTTTGAAAATTAACGGTCGGTTTGATAACTATTTCGTTTTTTATTTTTAGTTTATATTTTGAGTAGTGTTATTCATATCACGTTTTTGTACCACATTTTCATACCATCTTAGGTGGCATTTGATGTGAATATCCATATCATTTGAATTAATCAGATTTTTAAATTTAGTTCATTATTTAATAAACTAATAATTAAGAAAAACTAGTTAATTAAATGATGATTGTGGTATACAAGGAGTCTTTTTCCTTCCTTTCCTTGGGTTTTGCAAATTTTTCAAATAATTTGGCTAAATGTGGTATAAAAACATGATATGAATAACATTACTCTTATATTTTTGGTTTTTGAGACATGGAAAAAATATGTGCGGAAAAATGATTGATAGGAAGGAGGAGAAGAATAAAGAAGAACGAAATGACATAAAAAAAAACTGGAAAGTGCAAACTTAAAATAGTTTTGATTTTAGATTTTTCGTTTTTTATACCTTCCACTCACACATTTCTTCTATTGTTCTATATCTCACCCAAATCCTTCCTCCACTCTTCTTTTGTTTGTCATTTTCCCTGTAAGTATATATAGCTCTCTATTTTGTATCCCAATCACAACAAATAACTAAATAAACAAAACGGAATTATTATCGAAGCCAGCCCTAATTTATGTCATTATTAATATATTATGTCGAGTGTTGTAATTTTCTGCTATTCTTATTTCTCAATATTTTTCATCGTAATTAATTAACTCTGTCGGCTGTTGCATTACCGTCACTTTCTACTCTCTTTTTTTTCGGTAAAGGTTGTTCATAAGATGCCATGCACACATGATCGTCTGCCTTAACAATATTTCCCAAAACAGAAATTTAGTTAACATCATTAGTTATCCGTCAAACATATATGTTGCAGTTGATTAAGAAAGAAACATCATCAATGTTTTGTACGACCAGTGTCATGAACTTTTCTATCAAATTTATTTAACATCATTAGTTATCCGTCAAACATATATGTTGCAGTTGATTAAGAAAGAAACATCATCAATGTCATGAACTTTTCTATGAATCGATCGAGCTTCTAACGTCAAACTCTTACGTAAAAGATTTTTCAGTGTATTTGAAATACCGTTATGTGGTAGTATATATAGCATTTAAAAAAATATTATAACTCGTGCATCATTTTTCAAGTAATACATCCTATAAATAGGACCCGCTCATCTTGTTAGCCCTAATGAGACATGCATTCATGCATTATGTAAATTTGTAATTAGTTACTGTGTACAGTTTGTTTATCAATTTTCCTACGGAAAGATTGTAAATAATCATAAGTTTCCAAGGATATATGAAAATTATGAGATAAATATATAATATGGTGCTGGCCTCAAAAGCAAACTACAAAGTATGAAAGTGATCGATGGAGACTTCAAATAAAAGCCATTTAGTACGTGGTTGGTTTGATCATAAATATTTCTTTGCTCAAATTTCTTTATATCTTTGAAATTGTCTTGTTTTCTCTATATATATGGTCCCCAGCTGGGCTGTCACCACATTTTTTTAAACGAATTATCAACGATGCATGATTAAATCTTTTTTCACCCTTAATTTATTACTTATAAAATTAAATTAGGTGATGAATGCTAAGAAAAATACACTGTTTTAGAGTCCCACATACTTTCTTTTCCCTTTCTTGTTAAGCAAGACTACACCAAATATCTTTCAAATTTATCTTCTTTTGTTTTACATTACTTTTCTTTCTTGAATGGTAAGCAAGGATCGTTAGATATTTTCTTTTTCACCTCGTGTCACAACTAATAGCAGAAAGAATTGGTGGGAACAAGAACATCAATGTATTCATTTGTGTCTACAAATGGCGAAGGAGAACGGAAATTGGAAATTAACTAAAAAAGCATGTGGTTCAATATCTTAGTGGAAGAGATGTTGAGTTTTCACTAATCTGTTCAGCTTCGAAACTCCCATTCCTCTAAAATATTGTAATACTTTCGAACTCCCACCTATTTCCTTAACAATGATAAAAAAATAAATATATAAATAATTTAATTGACTAAAATAATAATTTGACAAATCTCAATGTTGAATTATTGATTATTCAAATATTAACAGTACATCAATCAATTTGATTGATGTATTGTTAATATTTGAATAAAATAT